ATATATATATATATATATATATATATATATATATATATATATATATATATATATATATATATATATATATATATATATATATATATATATCTCTCTCTCTCCCCCACAACCACCGCGGGGCGCCGCCCCCCTCTTTCATAAGAACAAAAAACCACAATACATACATCTTTATATGTCTTCTAACAGAGGAGTTTTCGTGGGCACTGTGATATTTTGGTTGATTTGGTGGGAAGTATCCTTTGAATCCCACAGCAATGATCAAATGCAGACAAGAAACCAGTATTCATCATCAGGAGTGGGGCACTGGACAAGATTGAACTGAGTCACCGTCAGGAAATCACTGTGGCTGCTGCTCTCTGTTCTAGTCTTCCTTCTTCGTTCTTCGTTCTTCCTATGAAGACTAGAAGACATGAATCTTTTGTCTTCGACGTTCACGCATATCTGCAACATTGTTCTGCTCGTGTGATGTCTTCAAACATAAGGAGCACATCTCAGGAGTCGTCGGCTTGTATTGGGAAAATTACTGCAGAGCATAGTTTCCATGGTTGTTCTCTCGCGAGGATGGAAGCGGTCAACTCATGGCAGGGCACGACGGTCAACCAAATCTTTCCGCTCTCCATGATGCTTGGATTGGATGTCTGCACTCCCTTCTTGGCTTAGCCCATAATTCGAGCAATATATTATTCCACACTAATTATTAACTAATACTCTGTAAATTCTCAAAATCAGGATTTGATTCTTCTATAAATATCCTAAATTTTGGTGTGAAGAAAGATACTTTTGAGTAGAGTATTCCTCGGATTCTCTCTAGCATATTTAAAACTTGTGTTCTCTTTGATTTCTAAAAAGGACGAGAGAATAAATATGTTAATTTTTTGAGATTTATGTGAGAATGTATATAATAATAGGGGGATAACTCAGGAGTCTTCTACGTGGATACAGGAGAGCTGTGTCTGATAAGGCCGTCGTGACACAGCTTTCGCATGCTTTCGAAGACCATAACGAATCTTCTTTTTCCTGAAAACAAGAGTATTCAAAGTCATCACCGCACCTATCTTCTACGGTGGATGGCTGTTGAAGATTTGCCGAAGCTGACCAACAACGAGATTCTTCCTCATCGGATTCAGACTTAGGACAATGGTCGAACCAGTAAATTCTCTAGTGGTGTCCGACAGCAGAGATCTTGAGTTGATCCCACCGTCCAGTAAAACAAATAAGTAATCTTACCGTCTTTCTGGAATACTTGCAATCTTTTCATCTATGCAGCTTCGAACTTCTTTAACCCACCCTATCGGGAATCCACAGGAAGAGCTTTTGGTTTGCGGAAAGAACGGAGTGATCCATGTCAAAAAGTCACTAACTGCGGAAGGAGGAGAGAGAAGGTGGCATCCACCGAGAACAAGTTGCAGCCAACGGGTATCATTCATGCAGGGAATTCCTCGGTGTAGAAGAAAGAAGCTTGTGGATTATTGCTGAAGGAACATTTCAAGAGAATATCACAAACAATTAATTACAAGTCCATATGTTTGTGAACGGTCGGTCTGAAAGAGAGAAAAGAAGAATCCATGTGTCCACACTCATTCATGAGCCTCTATTTAAAACCCTCTCCACTCCCCTTCCCTTCTTCCTCCAACTTCAGTACAGCTTCCTCTCTCTGGTGTTCAACCAGCGGGAAGCATCCCCCTGGATCTATCTACAAGATAGCTGTCATGGCAAAGTGTGTCACCTTCTTCGTCATAGCTGTTCTGCTCTCTTTCTCACTTGGCCGAGCAGCTCGACATGAGCCAGTGGATCCCAGAAACACCCAACAAGAGGTACTTGTCCGATTTCTGCAGAAAAACACTCACCTTGGCAGCTGAAATGGTGTCTTCTTTGGGTTAATTGAGATTGTTTTCCTTGTCTCTGATACGTAATGTGTTTGTCGTAATAGGGTGCAGAAGCAGACGGTTTTGAAAGGGTGGACGAAGGATGTGGAGCAGCTAACGAGGAGGAGTGCTTGATGAGAAGAACGCTTGTAGCTCACACAGACTACATATATACCCAAGGGAACAGACACTGATAAGAGCAGGAGCACACTCTCTTCTTCCTTCGTTTCTTCTCTCGAGAATGCGAGGAGGAAGGAAGAATTCTTCCGAAATAAAATGAAAAAGGAAATTTGTCGAGCAATCTCTTCTTCTTCAAGTCCACTGTGTTCCTTTGCTTCTGTGATGTTCTCTGTTTACCGAAATCAGCGATTTGCTCGACCTTCATCTCTACTTCTGGAGTTTGAGTTAAATAGCTTGTGTAATCTTTGTCAAATCTATCCTTCTTTCCCCTTCGTAAAATCATAAATCTATCGTCTAAAACAGTGATACCAACATGGATCATGAGTGGACTTCTATGAAGAATAAGTTGACTCTCTTTTGGTCCATAAAAATCTCTTGCATCTCTGGAATGCAAATTTAGCCGCCATTATACATATATCTATATATATATATATATATAAATACTATTGAGCCTTTTCACATCGTCTGGGTGGTGTAGTTGGTTATCACGCTAGTCTCACACACTAGAGGTCCCCGGTTCGAACCCGGGCTCAGACATTGTTGTTAGGCATTACATATATATAATATTATAATGTCATATTTTGGCCTTTTTTCTGTAATTCTCGCCAATTAATTAATTAATTAATTATATATATATATATATATATATATAATGCCATATTTTGCCCTTTTTTGGCATTTATGTAAATATTTATATTTAAATGAAATGTCTACACAACCCTTCTTATCCCCACCACACACCCACCCAGTTGTTCTTGTGTTGCCACAGGTCCATACAAGGATAAATCCGCACAAGGTTGGGTGTTTCTTTGACACCAAGCAATAGCCATGGTGTCCAACTGCTTCTTCCTTCCAAGATTAAGGAACCCCTGTCTCGTGGTGGTGGTGTCCACTGATGCAAAGAAATCCCACCTCCGATTCCAAGGAGGCATGCAAGTGTCCTCTGAAGAAGAAGTATGCTGCCCGGGTGTCGGGATTTTTTTAGGTGAAGACATGGTTGAAGAAGAAGCAGTGCGTTCTTGTTGGGTTTTGGCTTTTCAGGTGAAGCAATCATGATTTAGGATGGAGGCATGGCTGGAGCACAGGACTTGTTTCATACAGTCTTCTTCGTCAGCAGACTTGGGGGATTTCTTAACCATCTCCTTCTCTCGAGCACATCAGTACAAGTTATTTACATTACTTTTGGGTTCTTTCTTTCTTTCAATTTACTATGTTATTAAAGTGGCTTCAGTCACCAACTCTGCAGGAAAGTGCTTAACTCGCTGTCATCACAATCTCTCTTTGTTCTCTTCCTCTTTTTTTTTTTGTTCCTGTAGGCCTTCTCTCAGTACCATGTAATATGGAACTAACTACTGTTGGAGCAGAGCTAATAGGTAAGTGTTGTTACATATGTCCTATCTGCTTAGTGGTACCTAAGTGACTTTTTTTTACTATGTTACTTTTTGGTTGTCTTATTATTGTTTAGCTAAATTCCTTTGAGTCCTGTGATTCTATCTTCCCAAAAGATAGATAGTTGAGATCCAATTGACTCTCTGTGGACGACATTCACAATTGATAGTAGCTATTGCCCAGTGGTTCTCTCCGGATAAGACTAAATAATTGAACACATTTCTTTTGATTCCTGTGCATATAATAAACAAAGCCATAGATGACCCAAAGTAAGATAGTTCGACTACATGACCTGTTCTCCACCTACCCTTGAATTGTTCAGCAGGCAATCAGGAAGAAGGAGGAGGAGAAAGAATAAGCCTACACATAATTACATGAAGGCACGTAAACAATAGAACAAGTGGCTTTCCTTGGAAGGTTGGGATCGGAGCAATACCAAACCCTGCCCACCATGTCAAGGCTTCTTCCCTCTTCCTTATCCCACTGGAGCAGCAATTCTTGCTGCTTCTAAAATTGAACCTTTCCTTCCATCCGGCAACTCCACTTGGAAGAAAATTTATTTGTGTATGAATATGCCATCTAGCTCACATGTATTTACAGCAGGACCTTCTTGTATAGTTATGGTGGTTTGTGGGTGGGTGTCTATCTATCTATCTATCTATCTGTCTTACAACTATGGTTGGGGTTGGGATCAGTAAGATTTGACATTTTAGCCGAGCTGGAGTATCTGATTTGCCTGTTACCATCTTCCTGTATCTCTTAGCATTATGACAAGGTGGATGATCAGTATGCAAATATATGAAGTATATGATTTGCTTGTTACCATCTTCCTGTATCTCTCAAATATTATGACAAGGTGGATGATCAGTATACAAAATGTGATTATGCTGATTGGAGGTGAATGTAATATGCATAGAGTGATCAGTTCTCAGAAACTTAGGATGAAGAAGATCTTTAACATCAATAAGCAGTGTTTGTGGTAGCATTTTTTCTCTGAATTGACTTGAACCTAAAATTTTTTCGGACACAACTACCATAACCTCATATCACAAAGCAATTGAAGATTCAGATCTTTGTGGAAATCGATGATCCTTGTTTTGATGTATGTATGCTTTAGCTGATTGTTTCATACAGAAAAGAACGTTTCTCACTCTATCCTAACGAAAAGGAAAACAATGACCTATTTTAGCTTGTTTGACTAAGGAAAGGACACATCAATGACATCTTCAACGAGTATGACTTGGAAAAATTATGAAGCTTCTCCACATTTTCCACTGCACTGTTTTCTTTAAACAGAACTAAATATTCACACTCATGAGGAGGAAGAATTTATGGCATAAGATCCAGAATTGATCAGAAATGAAGCTATCCAATTTGGCTGTCATAAATGCATCTTTTTTTTATCGACACGATCTAACACTCTTTTGACCCCTTCAGCTTTCCTCAGCTACAATCAATATAGTATGTCATAATTTTCAACTAAGCAACATTTATATATAATTTAAAGTGAGAACAACGTTTAATTGAGTTTTTCTTTCTTTCATCGATCACCGTCCATTGTTAAATCAACATCATTTAAATTTTTTACTGTTTTGTAATAATTACCTTAGAATAATAATGTATAACAAAAGTCTTGCTGTAATTGGCTCTAATTATAATGCTAGACTGAATTGATGGCATTTTCGTTATAAAATTCAATTGCAGTGGTATTTGTATTATATATTAAAAAATGGATTTTATTTTAATGACCGTTAAAATTAAATCGTGTCGTTCTTTCGGGTGAAGATTTAAGCGAGCGGTGACCGTAACACGACTTCTCCTCCTCCTCCTCTCTCTCTCTCTCTCTCTCTCTCTCTCTCTCTCGCGTGGTAGACTTCCCTAAACCTTACTCTCTTCCTTGCTTCCGGCGCCCAGAATCCTCCATCGCTCGTCGGGGAGCGTCGCCGCTCGTAATGGTGCTCTGATCCGCCCTTGGAAGGCCACGCGACGGGAGTTCTCGACCCGGGCGGCGTGCCGGCATAGCAACGACCCGGCCGGTGGGGAAAGCTAGCTCCTTTCCAGCCAAGGCGGAGCCGGTCGTGCTAGGTTGCGCGAATGGGTGGTCCCGTCGTGGTTTGATGGAAGCGGCTCTGGGAACTCCTGGGGTCGATATATGGAGGTGAAGCCCTCGCTTCCTCGCGGGGTGTCGTCGAGGGCAGCATTTCGCTTGTCGGTGCTTGTCGCAGCTGTCACTCTTGAGGTAGGGCGGGTTGATCCGCCGATCTTGAGGTTTTGGAAGTTTTGGGGGTTTCTTGTGTTGCGGGTGCGAAGAATTTGGATGATAGTTGTCTCGAGTTTACCTTGGATTACGGCGTCTGCTGTGATCTGGGGCAATTGGGTGACCGGGCTGGTTGTGGTTTAGGGCTTACTTTTCTTATTATCGTTTTCGTCGAAAAAAATATCATCTTTGTGTAGTTTTAAGATGTTTCTGATGATTATTCTTTTTTGCGTTATGGAATCGGTCGAACTGCTTGCGGTGACAGAAGTCTTGATTCTTTCTTGTAGTTGTTCGTGATGTTCATGAGTTTTTGTTGAAAGCTTTGCAGTCGTTGCTGTGCTTTGTATAGAACCAGCTTTATACTTTTTTCTGTGGGTTCATCAAAATTGTGAAGCGCTTTTTGTGTTGATCTAGTGCATTCAATGGCTATTTGATATCGTTCTTTTTGTCCACCTAATGCGCTACAGTAATTTGTTTTTCTGATACTTTGGTGCGATTTTGGCCGATACAGGAAGTTCACAGTTTCAATTTGCTATTCTCTGTACAGTTTGTGTTGCTTCTGGTGTGTTTTGGAGGAACCGGTGCAAAATCTCAAGACAGTGAGCTGCTGTTTTCGCAAAATCCTAAGGTGGGGGAGAAAGATGTTCAACTCACGCACTCATGCATCCATGATGAGATACTCCATCAGAGGCGTCGGCCTGGTCGAAAAGAATACTCCGTTACTCCACAAATTTATTACCAGTCTAGTTTGTCGAGGTCACGCCATAGTGGTGGACGAGCTTTGCTTGAGGTGTCCTCGGCACCTTTGCTGCAAAAGGATGCAAAGCAGCCCATCCGGATACTTTTGAACTATGATGCTGTGGGGCATTCTCTTGATAGGGATTGCCAAAATGTTGGTGAACTCGTGAAGGTAAATGTGTTTCTGTTAGATAATTCCTCCAACTATGAATTCAGAGTCTTGCGTTCTTTTGGTGTGAATTAATCTCTTATCATGATGGTATTTCAGCTTGGTGAACCACCTGTAACATCAGTTCCAAGAACCCCTGTGTGCAAGACTCATGGGGATCGGCCAGTATTTGCAGATTGTTGGTACAACTGCACATCGGAAGACATTTCAGGGGAGGATAAAAAAAGACGCCTTCGAAAGGTACAATTTCTTGTCTGTTGGTGCTTCAACCATGTCGGCATTGATTCATGTGGGTATAACTTGTATATACCGATTCGATTTGTCTATTTCTTTATTTGCCCATTTTTTAAGAGCAAAATGCTCATTAATTTTTTTCCCAAAATTTGCATATGTTTTCTCATCCAACTTTTGATTTCTCAACTTGTGGGTGGTAACTAGATGAGAACATAAAATAGTGCATTCAAGGTGTCTCACTTTCAAGTTCAGTTTCTGTCCATTCGGTGAAGTTCCACTTTTTGTCTGTACTGAATTAGGTTTTGGAAACCTCAAGAAAACTAGAAGAGAATATTAATGCCATTTAGCTTTACATCATGTTGTTTAATATCATTTTTGTACCCTATCTGTGGCTTTACATCTTTAGGTGAACTTTTATTTACTTCGAGTGATGCACTGTAAGCTAAAAGTGTATTACAAGCATTCTGACAATGAACTCAATGCGCCAAAATAGAACAGATAGAACTCTATGAAGTATTAGCGTATTATTCCAACAAGTATTATGTCTACTAGACTAGTTACATTTACTAAATTATCTCTTCTGCTGTTGCTCATTAGTCTTTAATTTTCAATTAGTCAAACTCAATATTGTGTTCGTTAGGTTCATTCTTTTCAGCTTTTGGTAGCAATCCTTACTTCTAAGTACTTAGCAGTTAGGACTTAACAAAAGCTGCTGTTATGCATCATGGTGATGTCTATTAAGGTTGTATTAATGAAACATATTGGGTTAAATTTCTAATATTTCAACCAGATTTTGTATGCATAGAATGAAAGACACAATGCTTCAAAAGCTGATGGCATGGAAATAAGTATAAGCTGTGTTACTTTAGTTCAAGCTGTCATGAGGAATTTGGGAAGCATTTCACTAAGAACTAAATGTAATGACAAGCAAACAACCCGATCTTGCGTATGATCATCTTTAAAGCTTGATAGTTTGACTTTCAATTTGGCCATTAGAGGGTAGGATTGGGTCAATTTATAGAAAGAGTCAAAACTGGGAAAGAAAAAATGTCTAGTAGACCTAATCAGTGGATATTTGTGATGGATTCACTTTTGGAAATTGGATATGGTCAAGCTTTAATGTTTAGAATTTAGTGTAATTTGAATCTTCCAGTACTGGTTGAAGATGGTGAAGCCTATGAAGATCTGACAGAAACTAACCATTCTATTGGCCAAAATTGACTTGGATACAAAAATTAGTGAAGTTAGTGACGATGTTTTATCATTCTTATTTGTGGAGACCCTAGATCGATTGTTTTTGTTCATAAAAAAAATTCTTGAGCAGGCACTAGGACAAACAGCAGAGTGGTTCAAAAGTGCTTTAGCAGTTGAACCTGTCAAGGGAAACTTACGGTTGAGTGGATATTCTGCATGTGGACAGGATGGTGGGGTGCAACTCCCCCATGAATATGTTGAAGGTGCCGATGTAGTTTAGTTTTGTTATATTATCTTGGCTTCAGCATTTCTCCTTTATTTTTCTGGTCATATAAATCTACCTATACTTTGCAGATGGTGTTTCTGATTCAGACCTGGTTCTCTTGGTAACCACTAGACCCACAACTGGCAACACTCTTGCTTGGGCAGTGGCATGTGAACGAGATCAATGGGGTCGTGCAATCGCAGGTGCTTTTTATATCATAAGTTTGTTGGCATTTACTGACAAACTTTATCTGGATTTTTTTAACTATGATGTTTATGCTAATGTAATTTAGCCTTACGCAATCGGTAGGTCATGTAAATGTCGCTCCCCGTCATTTAACAGCTGAAGCTGAAACGTTACTTTCAGCTACTTTGATACATGAGGTTAGCAACATTCTACAAACCAATCCTTCAACTACTCCTGGTAACTTATGAGGATTTCTGTCCATAGGTCATGCATGTTTTAGGTTTTGATCCTCATGCCTTTGCACACTACCGTGATGAGAGAAAAAGAAGGCGTAGCCAGGTATCCATTTGCAGTTTCTTCACTAATTTCTAATCCTGTTTAGCTCAATTGGTTAGTCCTTACTATTCAATTATCATCTGTAATATCTAATGGATCATTCTTTTTTTTAGGTCACTGTTCAAGTTATGGATGAGAAGCTTGGGCGTATGGTCACACGTGTGGTCCTGCCTCGAGTTGTTATGCATGCCAGACATCACTATGGGGTATGTTTAACTGAACCATAAGGGGAAATGAGATTCTTTCTTTATTCTGTAATGGCAGTATGCAAATGAATTCAGTTCCTGGATTTGAGATTATGGTGTCGCTGAGCACAGTGGTTATACTTTTCTGTCAGGCATTTTCTGAAAATTTTACTGGCTTAGAGTTGGAAGATGGAGGGGGTCGTGGTACATCAGGTACCTTCAATTTCATAAGTGGAGTGTAGTCAAAATGCCTCATCGAATATCCCATTAAGTTTCTCACCATAATTTCTAAATGATACATGAATTATTGGCAGGATCTCACTGGGAGAAAAGACTTCTAATGAATGAAATTATGACAGGATCTGTCGATACAAGATCTGTAGTTTCAAAAATGACTTTGGCTTTATTAGAGGACAGTGGGTGGTATCATGCTAATTATAGCATGGCAGATCACCTTGACTGGGGTTGGAATCAAGGAACTGAATTTGTTACATCTCCTTGCAATCACTGGAAAGGGGCATACCGATGCAACACTACTCAGTTGTCAGGCTGTACATACAACAAGGAGGCAGAAGGGTATTGTCCTATTGTAAGCTATAATGGGGACTTGCCAAAATGGGCTCAATATTTCCCACAGGCTAATAAAGGTAAGCTTGGAAATATGTGTTCTATTTCATGATGATATTCATGATATCATCTTCTGATGTCTTTGGTCTTTCTTATTTCATGATAAAGTATAATGATGTATCGTGTTTTTTTATTTTATTTTATTGTTCTTGTTGTCTTTTAAATGCCAGTACTCTGTGCTGGCTTGGAACCTCTGAGCACCTTCCAATGCTGCCTGTTTGGAGGGTTCTGATCTTGAGTCAGAATAGCAGTCACATTTTCTGGTTGGTTCTTGTTTTTCAGTGTGGGGTAATTGAAATATTAAATTTACAAATTCAAATAGGTATAAATAGTCACTTGATGGATGAAGCTGAGGAGATGCCACAGGTGGATGAAATGAGTGAGATCAAGCTGGACCAGACTATAGACAGGCTAAGGGGGCATAGGCTATGCATATATTGTCTGTAATTGGTGAAACACATTGAAGGCAAAGAAAGGTGAATTGTATAACAGTGTGATCAACCTTGGCAATTTGAAGTGAAATTGTTAGTCTGCCTGTCTGGTGATATAGCTGTTTCAGATTTACAAGAAGCTTTCTTGCTTTGTGTTTCCATCTCCTTGGGGTTCTAATTACAAAAACGAATCACTGCAGGTTTGTGTATGTATGATATGAGCCTCGTGTGACAATTTCTCTTTTTCATGTCCTTATCTTCTTACCTATGTTTGTTTTTGAAAAGGACTCCTTGTGGTTGAGAAAAAGTTAATTCTTGATATCATTCTTTATAATTTTGTATGTAGTGAACCATCAATTTACTAGAACTATGCACATTTGCATGCTAAATAATTGCATTGTATTGACTACAAGTTTTGTAATCCTACTTCTAGCTCCAGTTTGAAGCAAACGTGCCTAAGTTTGCCCTCATTAGATAAAGCTATCATTCATTTTATCAATCCAACTGAAGCGGTATTTTTGTAGCTCATAAGATTTAGAAATGTGAGCTTTTCAGATGATGCATTCTTTAAATATGTTTTAAGACCTGTTGTATTGCAGGTGGGCAATCATCATTGGCAGACTATTGCACATATTTTGTTGCTTATTCTGATGGTTCTTGCACAGACACCAACAGTGCACGTGCACCTGATAGAATGTTAGGTGAGGTCCGAGGAAGTAACTCCAGGTAAGAACGAGATTTAGTATTTGGTGTAACTGCATAAGTTAAATTTGCTTGTGAGAAAAGGCTTAAATATTAAAGTGTATAACATAATGGGAAATCCAAATATGCCTGAAGCAGTGTTTAAACAGACCAAAACTGTAGTCTTTCTTGATCACCTTCCTATCTGGTGGTACATGCTTGTTAGGTGCATGACTTCATCATTGGTGCGCACAGGCTTTGTGAGGGGCTCTACCACTCAGGGTAATGGTTGTTATCAACACAGGTGTACAAACAACACTTTAGAGGTAAAACAACTTTTTATCTTGCATAATCTTCCTGTTGTTTTTCACGCCAGTAAGTAGGACAGCTTATTTACTCTTCATACACTTGATTTGTCTGATCAATTCATGTGAGATTTTATCAGTAGGGACTCTGGCAGCCAGGATTGGTGTCTAAGCTTTGTAGATTGTAATTTACCTTGGTCATTGATGGTAACTATTGGACCTGCATTGTATCTTGGTAACTTTGTAGATGGCATATGTTCTGAATATAAATAATTGGATTGGATAGTGAAATTGGTTTGACATATTTTGAACCAGTTTATTTCTTAAGTATAAAATTATTCTGAATGTTGCAGAAGAAATTCCTACCTAATGCAGACAAACTTGTAATTGTTGTCCTCCTTTGGATCTGTAGCAAACAAGTTTTCACGATGCAATTTATTATTTGCTCCTTTTTTAGGTTTTCCTCTGCCTGTCCTTGCAATATTGTTTTAGATTTATCGACTTCATGACAGGTGGATCTAGCATGTGTCTGTAGACCTATGCTCACATATAACCATGGTAGATCTTATTAATTTCTTTTATCTAGGTTGCTGTGGACGGTGTTTGGAAGGTCTGTCGTGAATCTGGTGGTCCTGTTCAATTTTCAGGATTCAATGGTGAGTTGGTCATTGTGTTAAACATCACATATGTGATCTTTGTGGACTCACAGTTAGATATACTACCTTGATGATTCAGGTGAGCTGATATGCCCAGCATATCATGAGTTGTGCAGTGGTGCACCGGTGCCTATAATTGGCCAATGTCCTGGCTCCTGTAGTTTTAATGGTGATTGCATAGATGGGGAGTGCCACTGCTTCCTTGGGTTTCATGGTGATGACTGCAGCCAAAGTGAGTTAACATGATTAAACCCTTCATATATATTTAGTTTGTCATGGGGTTTAGTTAGAAGTCCTGAACTGTCAAGCAGGAGTGAGTTTCAAAATGCTCAACTGAATTGGAGGAGCTAGAATAAGTGATATGTTCCTACAATTATTGCTGGTCATGCCACTAAGATTTTTGAGAAAACAAATAAAGATTATATGATTCTATAGTGGGTGGGTGGGGTGCTACATCATTTTTCTGGCATCAATTAAATAATTGTCCTCAGTGGGATATTTGGCTTTCTTTGTTTGATGATGATTTTAGCTTCGCTGATGTTGTGAAAGTTACGAGTAAAATGTATGCCAAGAAGCATATCTTACATCATTATAACCGTCGGGATGATTCACTATGAAGGATATGATCTCAGTCTTATTCTATCACAAAGTAGAAACCATTTCTAAATTGTATTATGCTGCCTTACAAAGGACTGGCTGATCTTTTACCTTTTACAATATTGTAGTGGCATTATAACATCCTTTCAGATCGTCTTTTCTTTTTCACTCTGCAGTATTGACAACTCGTGCATTGTGCTCTAGTTCATGCTTTTCACTATATAAACTATGTTTCTTCATTTACAGGATCATGTCCACGAAATTGTAGCGAGCATGGCACATGCCATCCAAATGGTGCCTGTCAGTGTGACAGTGGCTTTGCTGGCATTGATTGCTCCACTGGTACTCTTCCCTGTTCTGCTATCCATGTTGTCTTCCAAATTCATTTGTTATGTTTGATACCTGTACAGTAACAATTAGATGCTCATGCTCTTAAACCAAAGAAAGCATTCAAATTGAGTCATTAATGCATATTTTGCAGCTATTTGCGATGAGCAGTGCAGCTTGCATGGAGGAGTATGTGACAATGGTGTTTGTGAGTTCCGCTGTTCCGATTATGCTGGCTATACTTGCCAGAACAGCTCCTCGTTGCTGCCTAGCCTTTCGATTTGTGGTGATGTGCTAGCTCAGGATGCATTTGGACAACACTGTGCGCCAAGTGAACCAAGCATACTCCAGCAGCTTGAATCAGCTGTAGTAATGCCTAATTACAACCGGTTGATGCCAGGTGGCCGGATGCTGTTTAGCATCCTTAATAATGGCCACTGTGCTGCTGCAGCAAAGCGGCTCGCCTGCTGGGTATGTTATTCGCATCTATTGACTCTCAAGATTCTGTTAAATGTTCTGTTGATTGGTTCTGTATCACCGGTACATGGATTTTAAAAAAGTTTTTGGATTGTGTTTTCATAATTTTTATAAACAGTTTAATTTGCTACTCTTGGTAAAGATATGAACAGCGTCTATCAGGGAAATAGGATACTTCATCTTATTTCACAACAATCAACATTCATGTAGTGTTCACCCAATTTGTTGAATAGACACTCTGGTTCAATTTTTTACCTATAATAAGTTGTGCTCTGAAGCTAGCCTTTGTCCTGTTTGCTCATGCTTGCCATCACCTGTCTATATGATTGATCACTAGTTTATTTAACAATATAGCCAAGATGGTGTCGGGAAGAGGGATGTACCTGCACCACTTTGTATGGCATTCAGAAGGTTAACAAGTTATTAACTTTTTGCTCCTTTTCTATTGTAGATCTCAATCCAACGTTGTGACAAGGATGGAGATAATAGGCTCCGGGTGTGCCACTCTGCTTGCCGGTCATATAATGCGGCATGTGGGGCCAGCCTCGATTGCTCAGACCAAACTCTTTTCGGCAGCGAGGAGGAAGGGGACGGGCAGTGCACAGGCTACGGCGAGATGCGACCATGGTGGATGAGACGCATCGGCAATCTGTACTCACAAAACCAGCAGTACCTGTAAAGCCTTGTTTTTCCTGTTTGTATCTCTTTTCTCCATTATTTTTCTCTTCTCAAGCTTCTGTTCTAGGACTAGTCACGCCTGTATTTTGCGTGCCAAAAGGTTAGGGCAGGGAAAATCCTTGAAGAAGAGGATCCATGGGTGTTTCGTGGTATGTAGTTGGGCTTGTTCTAAGAACTAGCCTGGCTGACAGCAAAATGGGAGGAGGGTAGTGTGGAAACAGCTGAATGTATTTAGTATTTATTCTATTATGAGTTTCTTGAAGATAGCGTGGCTCTTCTTGCTCTGTGAATGAATAACAAGACCATGATGAGATCACCACAACTCCAAGGTCTCCAGTTGAAGTGATGTGGCATGCAGAAACTACATTGGAAGTGTTTATATATATATTGTTGTTAGGATTTGTGAAATATTTCAAAGCTACAAACTCCTGGCTGAATTTTCCTTTTAGGAAAACATCCTACTCACCAAGATGGTTTTAGTTTCATGTGATTTTAAGCTTATTAAATTTAGCAGCAATTGTTACACAGGAAGTAATTTTTTTGAATATGGTTGGATGTAATGTTTGCCTGTTTAGGTGTAATTTTAATCTAAATTCAATGGTTCATTTTTGTAAATAATATTCTAATAATATTTAGTATTTATATTTTTAAAGTGAAGATAATACAACAATGTCGTTGTAGTATAGTGGTGAGTATTCCCGCCTGTCACGCGGGTGACCCGGGTTCGATCCCCGGCAACGGCGATGTCTTTTTATAAGTCTTTTTTTTTTCCTTTCTTTTATTATTATTATTATTATTATTATTATTATTATTATTATTATTATTATTATTATTATTATTATTATTATTATTATTATTATTATTATTATTATTATTATTATTATTATTATTATTATTATTATTATTATTATTATTATTTCAAACCGTCACCGTCTCCACAACAACACTATCCATAGATTGACATCACACCATTCATATGATTTTTGCATGTTAGAGATCACTCACACACTCTTTACCTTCAAACACAGGTGGGCCCTCACTGGCTTATGGTCAGAGGTCTTGACTCGATCGATCGACTCGTAGGAGTGCAACGCCGCATCGATCCCCGATGAGCTATCGATCTTGAACAAGATTCTGTCGGTCCACGAAGGCACTCTGACCTGTGAATCATAGCGAGCAGTCATTGCACGGGCACTGAATGCTAACCAGCAATGATCTCTCTCTCTCTCTCTCTCTGTCTCTCTCTCTCTCTCTCACCTTGTAGCTCGTATCGTAGTTGTTGCTCCCCACGTCGTACTTGTACGTCGGCTTAAACGACAAGCTCCCTTCGCAGTACCCATCGAACACTTCCCCGCTTTCCGCTTCTCGGAGCAGCTGGTCCTTGCTCGTCAACAGCTGCATCGTCATCACGTAACGCAGAGTACCTAAGCACGGAGAGGAGAGGAGAGGACAGATGTGAGGCATGATCTCTTACGTACGTTGTGAAGGTTCTTACGGATCAGGCTTCGTGCTGGGTGGGTGCTGATTCCCTGCAATCTGTAGTTGAGATCTCCCATCCACACCGTCACATGGCAATGCCTCCGACATGGATTCCCGTCCTTGGCGAAGAGCGAGTGGGAGATGTGCCTGCACTGGGAGTTCCTCTCCTCCACGTTGCGCGCATGAGCTGCATGTAACACACACACGACAGTTCGATACGATTGCTTATGAGCAGTAGGATCGATCCAAGCATTCCACACCTGAGAGATGACAGGAAATGAAGACCATGCGGATTCCATTGAACTCGATATGCACGCCCACGGCTCCCTTCTTCCTTCCTACCAACCCTCCACAGCCTCTGACTGCGTGCTTGTCCACCCTCGTCTCTGCATCGTCGAGGAGTTGTCAGCAGAAGCTGCAAGCGGAGTTCTCGTGGCGGCTCCCTGTTTCTGCGTGCTCTCACCTTTCGCGAAGGGTTGGGAGTTTTTGGGGCCGAACACAAACAGTTGCAGCGATTGCATCGTCGCTGCTGCCAAGAGGCTAAAAGAAGGACGGTATATGAGAAGTTCCACAAGATATGAAGCAGTAAGAATGAAGTACCGGTGGGTTTCGGCAAGAGCAGCCTGCAACTGCACTCCGACGTCATGCTTTGGGACTTCCTGCAACCCTACCGCTAAAAGATCAAACCTTCTGTGCCAGCCGATGAGCTCCGCCATGTCGCCCGAGGATGCCTTGGAATAAACCAACATGGGGTTGTGAATCCAACGTGAATCGGGAATACATAGGTGCTTTTGCTTGGTCAGCCAAATCGAAACCTTTGTCTACCTTTCCATTCATGTTCCATGTCACTATGCAGACACAAGTAACTGAGCTGGTGGAGAACTCACAAACCTTTTCGATGGCCACCGTCTTTATCCCTTCATGAGCAGCGCCCATGGAATCAAATCTGCGATCCTTCTTCAGCTCCATGGATCTTTCCCTGCAAGTAGCCATCACCATCGCCGCATGATAGTGAAAATGATGTCTGCCTGACTCATCGTTACACTTGTCTCGTTATCTTGAGTTCATTTGACCATCGTGATTGTTACACTACGATACGTAATAGATTGTCTTAGGTAAACAAATCCTAATGCTTCCAAGGGAGGGTCTGTGTGAAAGAATACTTGCAAAACCAGATATCATTGATCGAATAATAATATATCTAAAAATCGATATAAGATTTAACTTGGTTTGATGATCTATATCAATGTTAGATTAAATTCTTCCTTACGTGAGATCAATCACAAGTTGTGATTCTTAAGTTCTTTCTATTCAAATATAAATGTCATTGTACTTTTTAAAAGTAAATTTCTAAGAATTTATATTTTTTTTCTCGCTCTTTTCAAAACTTTAGAGAATAAAACTCTTTCCTCCGATTATTCTTTTTTACTATCAAAACCTAAGATATATAGAATAGTTTATGCTAGATTTCAGGATAATTCTCTTCTTTCAAGAGACTCCTTTTGGTACTAAGAAGATTCTTTATCCCTAAAAAATCCTAAAATACTTATTAATCCTAACGGTCTTCTTCTATTTCTGTTTATATAATAAGTTTCATCTCCTATGCATGCCAACGAAGAAGACGAGAAGGGAGGAGGCAATTAGGCGAAGGAAGAAGGAGACAAACCTTCTACAATGAAGACCACTGCAGTTGCCCATGATAGCTTGCCTCCTTGTTGCAAGATTGCTGATGCCAAGAATAGGTCCTTCGTCTTATATATATATATATATATATATACACACACACCT